TGGCGAGCAGAAGATTCGGATTTACAATCCCGAGCTGGGCGTGTACTCCGAGATGGTCAAGTTTGATGGTGTTGCCAATGACGGAGTACTGCGAGAAGAGGCTCGCTCTTGCCCACCGGAGGAGAAACTCCTGTAGCCGCGATCGAGCCGCCCTGGCATCCTCATACAGCAGATCGAGGTCATTCCAGTAGAGGTTGGCAGAGGCATCGTAGAAGTCGAGGATGAGCACCCCCGGTAGAAGATGTATGAGAGCATGGCGCAGGGAGATCCCTTCTATGAAAGTTAGCATTGCTCTAAGAGCCAACTGTCACAATTACAGATGTAGCTGAGACAGACAGTCCACTGTCGGATGGCGTTTTCCTCAGTCACACTCCCAACTGTCCTCCTACGCGACCGTGGGCTGTGCCCTTATGTCGGAGTTAAGGCGCTGCGCGCTACTGATAGCTACACTATAGGCTGCAGATGCTGGTCAGTCCTGGTGCACGTCCTCAGTCTGCAGGGCGTCGTAGATGTCATACAGGTGCGCATGCCAGGAATTGAAGTCCGAAGGGTGATAGACGGCCGCAGGAGTGGTGCGAACCAGGGGAGAGGAAAGGATCTCCACCGGCAAGCGGAAGGCCATGGAGTAGGGGAGAATGAAGGAGTCCTTACCCTCGCTAACAGACACAGAGCCAGACTTCCGCAGACGCGACATTGCCACCAGAAGTTCAACCGTATTGATGCGGGCCTGTCCAGATATGATGCTGGTCATCAGGTCATGCCAGGTGCGGTTGACAGTGGCGAGTCGTCGGACGTGAATGAGGCGCGGCTGCAGCACTTCGTAGACAAAATGCATTCCCTGCATATCAGGATCTGGCGAGGGAGGAAGAGGAGTAATAGACAGGGTTGGCCAGTGCTCGAAGCACTCCCGGAGCGTTTTCTGTAGCTCCGCATGTGCCGCTGCCATACTGTCCCTGGCGGTGATGCCCAGTGTCAGGGAGCTTGACTGGACACTCGGTTCCGCCAGGGCCTCCCTGTCCAGAGCTGTCAGCGGCAAGTAGAAGTCGAGGTTGAGGAACATCGGCGTCAGGTAGAGATAGATCCGTTGAACGATCTCACCCTCCATGATCACAGGCGGGGTGTTCAGAAGTCAAAGACTGACAATTGTTAGAGCCACGAGGTCCTGAAGAAATGCAGTGTTCACGATTCCACGGCTGTGCAGGCACGTGCTGCGCTTTCTGTCAGTCTGTCATTATGACACCAAGCTGTGGGCAGAAGCTATCAGAGACTGTGTCTCAGCTCAGGAGGCTGTGCCATGCTTACGGTCTAGTCTCCCAAATTCCCCAAGGGAAGGCGAAAACCTAGCTCACGCAGGCGCTGTTGCAGCGTTGCGGAGAAACGAGAAGTTCCCTTTACCGTGTAGGCCGCCAGAACAACTCGGTTAAAGGTTGACCATGGAAGAGTGGCATGCCACAGTGCGTCTGCCCTGAATGAGATGCTGAGGCCGCGAAGGTCAAAGCAGCTTCCCCGGATCTGCTGGTTCGGAATCTCCTGGTAGTCGCATCCCTCAGAGTCTTCGATCCATATGCCTCCCTGATCGCATATAGAAATTGGAATGAGCAGTGTGCCACAGGCAGCATTGTGGGCATCCTTATGTGGAGGAGAGAGCACATCTACCAGGACTTCAAGCGAGGTCCATTGATGCTCTGGATGGCAGGAGTAAACGAAGGCGTTGAGCAATTGAGTGACATTGGGATGGGAGACGGTCTCCTTGAGCAAGCCTGGAAGAACACGATTGTAGGCTCCGACCCGAAACCGCTGGCCACCTGGAGATCTTGCCTCGTGGGAAGGTCGCTCCCATCTGTCATGGGTCTCGAAAGGTAAGTGTTGTAGAACTTGACGAACTGAAGACCAGACAGATAAACAGCGAGAGGCGATGCAGTTGCTTGCGATCTGCTCCGCCGTGGACACCGTGTGCGGCAAGCCACCGTGTGGAATTGGCTCAGCCAGACCACCCTCTGATCTTCCGTAGCAGTAACGGCCATGGTGGTCATGGAAAACGCTGCCATTGAGGGGGAGGAAGAGCCTGGTGTGCCCATGCGGTGATGTCATTGGAGGGCCATGTTCCCGCTGCAGGCGGCAGGGACACTTGAGCCTCCTCACAGAACAGCCGTAGCGCCGAGAGCGTGAGGCAGTCGTCCATATAGTCCGCAAAGATTTCGGGAGGGAAGGAGATAGCACGGATCGGGCCATCATCCTCATCTGCCATGGGCGCTTAGCACTCGCAAGTGTTTGGCGCCGAGCTCGGTAATCAATGTTAGCTTTGTCCTGACGGCAAATGCGCTAATATTTCGCGGGCTCGGGCAAGCATCAGGCAGTCATTGGGTCAGAGTCTGTGACTCAGGCGTCTGTGGACTGTGTCCTGTTCTAGCGGCATAACGGTAACAGTAGCCGCAAGGCGGAGGCTGTGCCATACGCCGCTAGATTGGACTGTGTCCTGCGATTGAAGCCTAGTCTAGTTCCGCCCAAATGCCCTGCAGCTCAATAGTCGGTGTCGAGGCAGCCGGGTCGCTCGAGCTCGCTGCCGGCTGTGGGGGCGGAGGCGGAGGGTTCTCTAAAGGATTCTCCAGCATGAGGTAGCCATCCTGATTGCTGTACTTTTGATACGGCAGGATCTCTGTGTACATGGTCCTGACGTGGCTACCCATGGTCCGAAGCCGGCAGCCCAGGAAGAATCGAGCATATGCAGCCGATCCTCCCAGCTACCCGAGTCGAGGGAGGTTCTGTCATCCGGCCCGAAAAGACCTGAGGCATTGGATTTCTGCTGCCGCTTTCGGTTCCTGCCTAGTCTTGCGCTTCGCGCCCTGCTTCTGCTGGGGGCTACGTTTGGCAAACTCCGAGGCCGAAGAGATGCAATACCAACCTGAAACGCTGAACTCGCTTGTCTCCGTCCAGTGCGTCTCCTGTAAGATAAGGACGTCGCAGTGGTTGGATGCTTCAGCTGCTAGCCACGTTTTTAATTCTCCCCATTGCTGTTGACCTAGGTGCCCCGCATTCCAAGAAACTACCCTAATGGATCTTTCAAGTCTTCCTGCCCTGCGGGAGGCTGTGCCATATGCAGGGGAGCCGTCAGTCTGTGACTGTAGGTCTCTTCGAGTTGGTGGGGGCCGGACCCCTAACCGGTTGACCAGGGTAGGTGTCAGGACCTGCCCGCGGTATGGTACGGGCCCATCACTTCGTATTGTACGTCTACATGCTGTCTTGAACGAATTCTTGCGAAGAGATGCAAAGTTTTGTGAGTGCACTGGCAGTTGCGCCATCCGCTACTTTCGTCAAGAGACAGAAGCCTAATGACTCCCTCCACTGCGCGGAAGTGGAAACCCTACCGCCTACCCAGTGTTGCAATGTTTTAAACAGAGTCTGGGCCCAGGAATTGGGACCTGGCGGCTCAAAGCAGCTCCTGCGAGAAAGGGGAGAGGACCATGGCGTAGAAGGAGGCGCAAACCTTTACTGTTCAGAAAAGGGGCCCAGTTGGAGCCTCTAGCACAGCAGTTGCGCCCCAAGCCTGTTCGAAACCTCTCAACCAGCGCGGCAGCTTGAGCACTTGTGGCGGCTACTACTACTACTACTACTACTACTACTACTACTACTACTGCTACTAGGAAGGCGTTGCGTCTGCCGCCGCGCGGGGTGTGTTGTTTGTGTTTGGGAGGTTTTTTGGTCAAACAGAAAGCCCTGTGTTTTGTGCGGTTTTCATCAGCAAGACGATGTATCGGAGTTTAAAGTTTCTGTAGTTCTTTGCCTTGTGATTTTGGGCTGGTTTTTGCGGAAGTGTCGCAAAGTCGCAAATACCATGTTTTTCGTGTTTGATTTATTGATTTTCAGGCTCATGTTGGAAGTTTTTGTCTGGAAAGCTTCAACAACGCGAGGTTTGTTCATGGTGGACGTTTCCAAAGTGAAGCAACAAGAAACGGCAAGCACGGGTTGACAGAGCAACTGGTAGCGTTTGAGAAGTAACGCAACCAAAGAAACAGAAGACACAAGCCGCATTCGCATGGACGTCATCACCCCCCCCCATCCCCCCCACCCCCGGCACAGAGCTGAAAGACAGATCGCAAGTTTAAGCTGGCATGCGAGAATCTGCAAAACACCGTAAAAACCAATGCGAAATGCGACAAATAGGAAACAACAAGAGAAACAGAAGACACAAGCCGCCCCCCCCCCCCGCCATACCCCACAAGCCCCGCACAGCGCTGAAAGACAAATGAAAGTCGAAGCCGGCATGTGCAGAAAGTCGAGATTCTGCAAAAAACACTGCAAAAACCGATGCGAAATGCGACACACAGGAAAACACAGAAAAAAACGATGCGACATGCAGAGCCGAACATGTGTTTGCACACTGGAACCCGCCGGCAGGGTCACTTTTTTGGTAGAAAACACCGCAAAAACCGATGCGAAAGCAAAAGCAAAGTTAAACGTCAGGTGACGAAAGTGCCAAAACTCGAGTTTCAGCGCATGCCAGCAGAGGAGGCAGACGCAACACCTACCTACAACTACTACTACTACTACTACTACTACTACTACGACTACTACTACTACTACTACTACTACTACTACTACTACTACTACTACTACTACTACTACTACTACTACTAGCAGCAACATCATAGATCTCCTGGGGTGAGCTGCAATGCTTTTCCCGAATTCAACAGCTGGCTCGCCAATGTCATGCCAAAGGTCGAAAGCAGAAATCATAGAGCAATATACTACACTTCCCCTGCTTGTCTTCATCTTCCTCTCCCGGCCATTACTCCTCCTTGATGATCTTTGCTCTACACTGCAACTCTGCATGCGCAATGCCGATGCTCGCAAATGTCTGCATCCTGTTAGTCTGACAGCTCAGGAAAACGGGCTCAAGACAGAAGGGTCGCAGAGCTAGTATAGTACCCTATAATATTACATATGATAGTATAGTATCCTATAATGTTACACTTGAAGCACAGCTAGTGCCGCCAAGGGGCCACAGGGGCCGGGGTCTCCACCGGCGCCGGGGCCGCAGGGGCGGGGGCTGCCTCAGCCTGAGAACGACTGCGTTGTACCGTTGTTTGGTGGCTCTTTATGGGGGTTTCCCAAAAATAGGGGACCCTAATATCGCACCCTAAGTAGCAGCATCCTCATTATGAGGGCCCAAAATGAAGGTACCCCTAATTTTCGGAAGCTCCCTTATCTTTCTTCAGTCCGGCGTAGCGACCGTAGCGGTCGCCCTGTTAGGGGTCACCGCAAGATAGGATCAGAGCATTCAGAGTATCTCCGGGCCTTGCCCCCGTTGTTGAAACCCTACTTATAGCCGACTCCTAGTTCGACACAGCACAGGAATACGACTCAGTCACAAAATCCGGTCTCTAGGGCGGAATGTTGCTTGTTGCGAAGTAAGACTTGGCCTTAACCGGGCCGAAATGCAGATTTTGGATCTTGGGGGCTGTAACCCAACCTACAGTCAAAGGCCCATCGAGGGCACACGACATCAGACAGGTCGCGAGTTCAAGGCGGAAGGAAGGATTTCATGAACTCAGACACAAAAAGCAACAAAGCAAGCTCTTTTGATTGTCTGGCCTTCCCCTTCTTTTTGCCTTTCTTCTTTGGCTCCTGCAGATCATCGGCTCGGACAGAGCTTGTCGGCATGTGCGGGATCTAAGCAAGCTACACTTGTCGAACTCTGCCTCCAAGCTATGTGATGCCAGCGAAGATACACCAATCCCACTCAGGCAAGACTCAAAGGTCTCTTCAAGAGGCAACTTGGGCAACCCCACGGCATGCAACATTCGTCCCTGCATGAGCGAACCGCAGCAAACCCTGCGCCAAATGAGACAGCAGCGCGCTCACCAGAAACAGACCCCGCCGCAGTCCGGCTCCAACTCCACCGCAGGCGCTGCTTCGTAGGTCTCTTCAACCTCTGGCTGCTGCTCCTTCTCCTCCTACCAAAATTCGGGAGTCACCACGCGAGTTCCGAAGATAAAACCCTATAAACCCTACAACCATGATGTCCGCGCCTCTTCGGAGTCAGAGTCTCAGTTTGGGCACATGAACTCTCTCACAAGACTCATGGCTGAAGATGCCCAGAACTGAAGTCTGCATGCATCCTGTTGAATTACGACCACCGTGTTTCTGGCCTGGCCAAACTGAATGCCTTCTGATCCCTTTTCTCTTCGACTGTTCTAGCTGTCGCAGAACTCGCTGCAAGGTTTGCATTTCTGCAGTCGTCTGGCTGCACTGCTACTGCATCGTCCTGCTGCTACAATGCAACCATGCGGTTAGATTCGCACTAGGCGCCTTACTGATACAGACTCATGCGATATCGGCACATGCCATGCAGAACGGTTAGGGAACTTCGGTACTGTGCTTCGCTGAGCGAGTGCTTACTACATGTCTTTTTGCCAGTGTTGTTGTTCGCCTACTCCTGCTCTTCCAGCATCAAGGCCTCAAAGCCGTAATTTTTTGTCCTTGTCTTGCTGCCACAATATCGAATGCAGACTTCTTTGCTTGAGCACCGCACTGCCGAGAAGTGCGAAGGCGTTCTTGGTGCCAGCAGGCATCTTGCAGCTTCTGGCCGACAATGGGGCAGTTTGGGGATCTACGCGCGAGACTCGCACAAGACAGGCAAGGCTTCAGCGTCTTCAGCACATTTCGGGGATTCAGGGCTTTTGGCACACTTTAAGGTTTAGGTGTAGAGATTGGGGTGCTTTGCGGCCCTGCGCGGGTTTACTGTAGCACAGCAAGCACCGCAAACTGGCCAGCGGGTCTTACAACGGCATCGACTCGTCTTGGATCTAGACACTGATGTGCTTGAGCATAAACAGCAACGCCAATATCCGACCCCCATCGCTACGTGCCACAGGCGCTTTGCACAGAGTGCAACCGCACGCGTGCAGCCACACAGCATGGCGAATACAACGAAAATCGATCAGAAGGTAGGATCGCTCGTGCAGGCGAGTTGCTCCCTGACTGAGGCCACAAGCCCCTCTTAGCTGTTCGAAGGGTCTGTCACAACTGGGCAAGCCAGGCTCCAGACATCCGGTGAAGGCAGCTTGTGAAGAGCCTCCACACAAAGGCACCGTGCCTTGTCTTTGGGATATCCGTCGTCTTTGCCTATCGCTGGAAGCTCCGAAAAGGAAGCCCAAACCTGGGCGAATTCGTTTCTCGCTGAGCCACAGGTCTATGACACACTGCCAGGCGATCCTAGGCGGCTAGGGACCTGCACAATGTAACCGCCCATGCCAGCTGTACTGGAGCAGCACATTGATGGACCGCAGCTACGGAAACAGTCAAGCCTCCTTTTAGAAGGACTCGAAGGAAAACCAGCTCCTGTCGACCCGTATCTGCATTACCATTCTGAAGCCAGCTGGAACCCGTAATTCTCTACTCTACTGCCGTTCTTGATGATTCAAACCTCTCGCAAGAAACAAAGCTCTCACGAGGAGGACGAGGACGACTTCTTTTTGGATTTCCTGCCATCATCGCTTTGATGCATCCCATCGAGAAAGCTGCTTTGGAGCCTCTTGGCTTTCTCCCTTGAGGCTGAGGTGGATGAAGAGCTGCGCTTTTTCGACTTGCCTCAGACGCGAAAGAGCACAAAACACAGGCAGGGTCGACAGGAGACTCTTCGGAGCAGTTCCGCATTTTGCCACCGAGGCGGCAGCTCTTGCGTTTCCTGCCATGTGGAAGTGTCGGAAAACAAACGACCCGTCAATTCCACTGCCAGCTCACCCAGAACACCAGCAACTACACTTTGTGGTAGTGACCCGAAATGTACGCGGGACTGTCTCGGGAGCACGATATTGGAGAAGATGGGGAAGATAGGCCTGCCACCGTGGCGAGAGCCCGCTTTCGAATGCTGTCAGATTCCGAAGAGGGGCCGGTTGCGGGACTGTGGACAGAACACGAAGTTAACCAAGCATGTGCAGAGCAGAAAATGCACACCACATCCCGGCGGAAACCACTGAAAGCCAGATGCACCTACCCCGGGCGCCTTGTGCGCGAACGCCAAATCCCTGAACTCTTAACATAAGAACCCATGCACAGTGTGGAAAAATACAAGCCGTAAAGAGTAGGACCCCTTGATAGTCATTATAATGGTCCCTTAACCCCACCTCCCCTCGGAAAACAAATATGCGAGTATGTACATCTACATCTACATATACGTATACGTATACGTATACAGAAACATATACATATACATATACATACACATACACATATATAGATATGTATGTATGTATGCAAGTAAGTATGTATGTCTGTATGTGCGTGAATACGTTCTAAAAATGTATGTACATAGCTATATATAGATGTATAATATTATATATCCATATATGTGTGTATATGCGAAAGATGGCGGGTGCCGCCGGCTCGAGGAAGATGAAGTGGAGGACTTCTTCTTTTTCGACTTGGACTTCCTTGCCGAGACCACTCAAAACTCGGAACCGGAGCTTTTGCTGAAAGCAGAACCAGCTTGAGGCAGGGTTTCAGGCCTAAGGAAAAAAACTCTCTCTCTTCTTCAGCTCAGCCAGAAGGGTCAGGCCAACCCTCGCTCCCTCTCCCCCTCTCTCTCGCAGACTCGGGTTCGTCAGCTGCTGGTTAGCAAACAAAACTGGTTTCAGCACTCACACTCGGACGAACCACGGCGAGGATTACTGCATACTATTACACCAGGAAGGTGAGGTGTGAATGACCGCGGCACTACTCGATGGTGCCAGCAGTCGTTGGCGCCCTGATACGGCCACGGCGTGTTCCTCTGCTGCCTCCTCTGCTGCCCTGGTGCTTTATGGCTCTGTGGCTCATGTACTCGAGTACGAAACGATACCCGCACTTTCGCCACATGAAACGGTTGAAACAGCATGGCGCTACACTATGGCTCTCGTTCAGAGCCTGTTTGCGATGGAAGATGTGCCTGTATTTTTCTGGTAACTTCTCGCTGCGTGTGTTCTCGCTGTAGTTCTTGATCGTAGAGACGCAGCAGGGATGACGAGAAGAAGAGAGATGGCACAAGTGCCTCTAGCATCATCAATGCAATGCGACTGATTATCAGAGCGATGACAAGAAAATAAGTATGGCAGCAGCGAAAAAAATATAATTCAAGACAAACAAAGACGGTGATGGCATCAGCATGTACTGCTGTGCTGCCACGAATAGTGTCAATGTTTGTGGTTTCTTTTGGCGCCGCTACAGTTTCCGACCAAGCGATGAGAATGATGGTGATGCTGAAGCTGATGACACGGCTTATCAGAACATATCAGAAATCAGAACACCTTTTGCTTCCTATGTATCACTTACTGGACCAAGGCTCCGCTTTTTATCAGAAGACGATGACGAGGACCGCTTCTTTGGAGGCTTCGTCTGCGCCGCTTTGGGGGCTTCGGCCGGCCTCACTGCAGAAACGTGCCGTTCGGCGCAGTTTTGCGGCTTTCGGGTGTGGCTCCTCCCCGTCTTCGTCTCTGCAGTCGTGGCCACCAGGGACTCCAGGGCTGCGAGCACAGCCTCTTGATCTTCCGGGCTGCCCGGAGGCACCTTCCTGAAGGCTTCCAGGAGTCGCAGAGAGGAACAGCCGGAGTCTCGTCTCGCCCCAGCCTCGCAGCATCCTCTGCCGCCGCCGGCATCTCTGCATCTGGAGACCTTTGCACGGCACAGTAATCTGCGATCGCTGGCGGGCTCTACAGCAAGCAGGATCCTACCTGTCCTTGGCCCTTGGGCCCCTGCATGGCAGGCTCGTCGACGTCTGCCTCCTGTGCCTTCGCATTCCCCAAGTTGATGCTGATCTGCGGGCTTGGCTTTCCTGCAGCTGTGGCGAGCGACACATCAGCGTAGGAGATGCTAATACAAGATCCTGGGAGCAGCCGAGGCGAGTCCAAGGGAGGTTCTGGAAGCTCCTGATGGACCACAACCGAAGCATCGCAAGGCATCCGCCTGTTCCGACCCCTGCCTGCTCGGACAGTCCAGGCGTCTTGAGACGGACGCCTGCAGGGGGGCAGGATGCCACAGGGCATGTTAGCCGGTAATCTTCTGCATTCGGCATAAGCTGGATCAGGCCTTTGGTGCTGAGCTGGATGGCCTGCTTGCGATCGCAGAAAGCTCGCTACCACACGTCCAACCAATCCAGGGGCATGGCTGTGGTCGGTTCTCGGTAGACCTGCCACGTTCCACCCAAAACTAGTTGCCGTAGCCACAACAACTGTACCAGCACCACGAGTAGCAGGACAATGACAAATCAAAACCGACAGTCCTGTTGTACTACTACTTACCATCACAACAACACGCCTTGTCATGATAAGTCATGAAGTCTGACGATAGGTGGCAACCCCAGGCCCACCGCAACAGAGCCGGATGGGCATATGTCCGTGCAGAACCCCCGAGCCGCAGGTTGTCGCCAGAGCAAAGTCTCTCCATCCTTATTAGGGCTCAAGGTCTTTTCCCTCCTATGTAGCAAGGACGAAGCAGGCATTGCAGGGAATGTCGGTTGAACAGCTGAAAAAGCTAAGATCTCATAGCTAATTGTTCAAGGTTTAGGGCCTAGCAAGGACGAAGCCCGCATGGCTTAGGGTTTAGTAGGGCTTAGGGTTTATTAGTTTATTAGGGCTTCGGGCTTCTGAACCAGAAACCCCAAACCCTGTGCCCTGCCGAGGCCAAGCAAGAACGCTGTCACACTTCGTTTCGAAACCAGAGAGCTTCGCCCCTTTTTCGGAATGCTCGCCCTGCTCCGCGCCTAACAGCGCCAGCGCAGTTCTCACCGGCTGCCGGCTCTTTGTCCGGGAATCTCAAACGGAAGCTTCAGCCGCGATGCATCAGTCCTCCTTTGCACACTTCCTGTCAGCATCCTCGGCACATCGCATCTTCGAAGCCGCGAGTCGGGAATCGAAGAGACTCCAAACAGTAATCTACTCGCATTGAGTATTGAACCCCAGGCTCCGATCCCTTCGACGGGCTTCCTGGTGCGAACCTGAAGAAGGTGTTCACGTACCTGAGCTCAGCGGCATTGCGCATTTGGCAGCTACTAGTAGCGTAAAGAAAGGCAGCTATCAATCACAGGAACGCACAGCGGCACAGAAAGCTGGAAATTCCACGCCAGGAGCCGCACGCGTAATGCGAAAACAAAGTAAAAAGGACTCTGTACCAGACCAGCTGTGACCAGTGCACGGCCAAGGCCTAGGCACTTCTCGGACGACACGTGCGACATGGATAACACAAACATGGAAGCCCGTTGAGAGCCACACCGCTAAACAAGCTGGGGCGCTGCAAGAAATGGCTGCCTGCAGCTGAATCTCACAGACTACAAGCAGGGACAGCACACCGATAGACAGGAAGAACGAGTAATTAGCTTCCGAGCGGCAGCATCGGCCACAGACTCCCGCCTTGCTTCAGCCGATGCACCGACTGTTCAGACACGATGCAGGCCAAACGTTCTTGTGTAAACATTTGGTGCTGCAAGCGCTGGCTTACAGGTGTCCGAGATAGCATTAATGATGCCTTTGTTTTAGCTCATGGCGAAAGTGCCTCTTTGGCCTGGTGGCAGGCGGCATATGCGGCATACGGCACAGGCCACGTCTGACTCAGCCTCTGGCCCCAGCAGCAAGCAAAGCGGGCCCAGGTACTTCTCGTGGATCCCTACCTCTGCTCGTGGGACTCCATCCGGCTGTCTATATGCACTGCTACAGCACGAAAGATAACGCAGCCGCGGCTCGCTCTTAAGCAGGAACAGCTCGAACTGAGGTAGTTTGGCATCTCCATGGACAAGCTCTAGCGCACGCTGCGCACCTCCGTGCATTCCGGCACGGGTGGTCGCTCACAGACTCAACTCAACGAGAGGCGGCGCCTGAGCTGGTGGAGATGTGGTTTGGATGACCTTGCATATGGTACGAGGGACAAATGTGCACCACTTCTAGCAGCTTCAGATCACCACCAGCTACATCGGCATGACCCTCACAGAGCATGGGCCTGACACACCGGCGTTGTCGAAAGTGAGCACAACACTTGCGCCACGCTTCTCAAGGAAGTCGATGACCTACTGCAGCAAACGCACGGCAAATCTTAATCTGACTTCTTACATCGGCACATGTGGGGCGAAAGAGAAATCAACATGCTGGCCTTGCCAGCAACGATGTCCGCAGGCCATTCGTGCCATCCATCCTGCGATCGCTCACTCGCACGGCGCCACTGCTGTCCCGCAATCTTTGTGGAGGTTCGGAGCTTTCCCTTTTTATTCTGCAGGTGGGAGATTGCGCCCTAGTTATCCCCATTCCATGAAAGTAACCCGAAGTGAACCTGCAACTCGGCTTGGTCAAGGACTTCCAAAGCTTCCCCGTGCACACCTGCACAAGACTTTCACGCCACGCCCAGCTCATGTACACAAGTCACGCTGTGGACAGCGAAGCTGAATGCGGCTTTCACCGCACAGGCACCTATTCGTGCACAGGATCGCCGCATTTCCTTGGCTTTGCGAGGTCCGGCAGAGCGTCTTGCTCCAGGTCACACTGCGCGACACAAGGGCGAGAATGTCTCAGCGACCCCTATTCAAAGGTCGGGAATCAAACTCTCTGTTGCTGCAAGAGTTCCTCTTGCCGGATGCTCCCAAGCCCATCGAAATTTCCGGTGGATAGGCACAGGACGCTGATGTTGATACCTGGTGCGAGCTAATGTTCAGCTGGGATGCAGTCTAGAGGCGAAGGTACATGCAATTTTGCACATGCATCAAGGACGGCAGGCTGTCGAAGCTCGCATGCCCCCATCCCGCAAAGCAACAACTCAGCCGGACCGCCTGCCGCACAAAGCTGCGAGAGCACGGGCCAAAAGAACATGGCCTGAGCATGCACTTTTTGCATTAGTTTCGACAGCCCCTCCACCTATCAAGTCCGAACAAAAACAACTGGTGTAAAGCGTGATTGGCTTGAACTGATGCTGTAAAGAAACTTCGTCGTCCGGGTGAGCTACCACCTCGGAAGAATCCGCCCTGCCCTCTCCCATCCCATGATCTCAGATACCCTCTCAGCCACCAGGTAGCCAAGGCAACCTGTTTGTACTTCTGCAGCAAGCCAAATATTCCAGGACGCCGCAGCAACGGTAAAGACCTCACCCGTCGACAAAATTTCTCGTCAGTTCGCGTATGTTGGTAGGACCACCGTGGTCAGGTCCCGGGCAAGAAAGCACAGACGACGGCACCGGCGACCTGCGCACTGCTGGCTTCCGACCCCGATGGAATCACAAGCAGTAGACTCAGCACAGCGCCCAGAACCTCAATTGAAAAGCATTTGGGCAGGCAAGCTTGAAAGCTTTCGAGGGCCAAGGTCTGAGCGACACACATGGCAACCTCATCACTTGGCGCTGCCGCTGCAACCACGGACGGCAGCACCTTGCTGGCTCTTTTCAGCCATTCTGACCAGTGCGCACAGTGGCCTTTACAGAAGTAAGCTACTGTAGTATCTTCCAACAGGAAAACGTCGTGCTCTCTTAAAATGCAGCATGTCCTACCGAAACTTGCGGCCAGGACATTGCCGCAGAAGGTCAGATCAGATGCTGGCCTCCGCCGCCGCACTTTGATGGGCACATCTCTCGGCCCGGTCGCGCTTGATCAACGCTGCACGGCTTCAAAGGCAGAAAGTTGCGAGAACGACTGGTTCAGTCTGCTTGAGCTCTGCCATGGTCCAGAGGAGCTACACACTGTGCGAACAACGAGGCTAGCGAAGGAGACCGGATACTGATTCGTAGGTCTCTTGCACGCTCGTTTTCCTGGCCTTGTCGCGCAGCTGTCTAGTCAGTCTATCGGCTGGTGCAGGCGGTGCGTTACAGGTCTTGCCGCGTTGCCTAATTAGCATGAGCGGCGGCTGCGTCCTGCACGTTCGGGAAGCCTGGAGACCTTAGGAATGACTTGCTCGTGCTGGGACCATGCTGCCCTTCGAACAGGTTCGAAAGTGCACATACCTGCTTCTGACTTGCCAAGCGGCTCAAAACTGAAACAACTCTACTCATCATCGCTGTCCTCCTCCTCGTCGCTTCCCAAGAGGGCAGAGAACTTGTTTTTCCTGAGGTTTGATGTACGATCTGAAACATACATACTGCCACCGGTACCTTGTTCTTGCACAAAGGCTTCCGAGCAGCACTCGTCCTGTCTAGACTTCGTATGCTGCTACTGCTGCTGCTACGGCTACGGCTACCGCTACTGCAACTGCTACTGCTACTACCACCTACCTACCGACCTACCCTGCCTACCTGCCTACCTGCCTACCTACCTACCTACTACTGCTGTTACTAGTACTACCGTACTACCACTCCTCCTCCTGCTGCTGCTACTACTGCTTACGATCGGGTTCAGAAGATGCCAATCCGAGTTGTGCCTGCAGAGACAGTACGCCCCGGGTGCACTAGTGTAGTGTCTGGCGAGGTTCGAGGCGACTGCCGGCTTGTCCTTCTTGTCACTTTTCTCTGTCTTTTCTTTTCTCTGTGCCACCTGTGGCTCCTCGTCACAGTAGGAAATTGATAGTGGATGCAGGTCTCGTGGTTTGCAGCCCCAGAGCACCAACAACGACTCAGACATTCTGTCCTTCTGTGTCGCCACTGCTTTGGGTGCTGTCTTGGCCGTCTTGGTCAGTCACATCGTGAAATAAACCAGCAGAACTCTGTCGCTACAAAGAGGCTGCGGCCGCCGGCACTTCTGCAGGTGCAGAAGGCACCGGAGCAGGGGCAGCGGCGGCAGTGGCCTCAGCCTTGGAGGGGAACATATGTCTCCCACGGAAGGCTCCACACAGCCGAACAACACAACGAGATCGACCTAGTATGCTACGCACCTGAGCAAAAACTCATGAAACACTCAACCGGGTTTCCTGGCCTTGCCCTTTTTTTTGCCCTTCTTCTTCTGCTCCTAGTCAGCTTGATCTAGCCATCAAGCACGCCACGAGACTCGGCTGACCCTTTCCAGTCCGGCTCCACTTCTACGGGTGCCGCTTCGTACGCCTCCTCAACCGCCGGCGTCTCTGGCGCCTCTTCCTAACAAGCCAGGGACTTTCCCGTCTCGGCTGTAAACATTCAACTGCTAAGGCAAAACCCGGCCTCTTCCGAATCGGAATCTCAGCACAGCATACTGCGAAATGTTCGAAGGCGCCACGGCTTGAGAGAATCTGCAAGCAAGCCCAGCTTAGCATGTGAGCTCCGGACTGCCGAGCGCGGCGAAAGCGTTCTTTATGCCAGCTGGCATTGCGCAGGTCCTGGCCCGCGACAGATTCAACCTGGAGAAGTCCGGGATAGGAGAAACGTGCCAGCAGCACGGCTCAGCAAAGGCTCCGATCTCCCGGCGATGGGTATCAGCTTGAACCGAAGCCGCAGATAAACAACTAGGTGGCTGTTGCTGTGGTGAAACCATGATCCGACGCGGCCCACGACTTCGACTGGCCTAAGGTTTCCCCCTTCTACACGCGACGAAAGTCTTCCGGGGCACCGACGTGTTCTTCGTCAGCCTTTTTGCGCCGTGAGTTGTTGCTTGCACAAGTGGACTTCATCGACGCGAAACAATAGCATGAGATGGTAAACGTAGCAACGTATGAAGGCCATTGACGGCAACCTGCTAAAGAAACTCGGCCAAGACGCTTCTGCCCGTTGAGAGAAGTGCCATGCGCTGAACCGAGGTCTTGCAGAAACGTGAAGCAGCCCTGTCGGTTGACCTGTCGACCATGGCAGCGAGCAAGAAAGACATACATACATACATACATACATACATACATACTAATACATAAACACATACACTTTTCTTACTCACACTCGACATACATACATACATACATACACATATACATACACATCTTTTGTCACTCGCACTCGGCAGGCAGGCGAGGTTTGGGGTCTTTCCGGGAATCCTTTACACACTCAGCACGTTCACCGAGCTTGAATCTTGAAGCCTAAGGCTGTCGCATGTCAGTAGTTTCACCGAGCATGAAGCATTAGCAGACAGACTATCTACAACCCCGTGTGCATGTCTCTTCTTTCAGCCTTGCACAGGTCCCGTGTTCCAAGCCACCCTTCTGTCGTACGGATCCACATACACATACACGTACACGTACACATACACATACACACATACATACAGACATACATATACATACATACATACATACATACCTACCTACATGCATACATACATACATACACACATAGAAACAAAAATATATATATATATATATATATATATATACATATACATATATATATATATACATATACACATATACATATATACATATAAATATATACATATATATATACATATACATAATACATTATATATATATATGGTCACCCCCCTCCCCCATGACAGACCATCCCTTCAAAACATCGCTCCCACCGGCGTGTTCGTGCTTTTTCCGGGGTATCGAGTTTGAGCCCTCCGAACGTATCTGTGGAACCACCAAAAGACTGAGACCAGAAAGCCAAAAACCAAAGTTTCACGTGTCTGTGGAACCCCTGATTTCGTCTGTCCAGAACGACACTAGAGCTAAAACCAAAAAAACAAAAAACCAAAGTTTCACGGAGAATGCAGGAACAGTTTTTGTTTTTTGGTCTTTTGGATTTTTGGTTTTTTGGTAATTGACCACTATAATAATATACTAATATACTAATACGTTAACATACGAGTATCATAATACACCAATATACTAATGTACTCATGCACCAATGTACTAATACATTCACGCAATCTTCAACTATGCAAATATACTATTGTTCGAATACATTACTGTATGAATATATTAAGCTCAAGATGTACGAATCAATCAGTATATTCACATATCGAAACTATTTCTAATACTGATACTAATACCAGCACTTCTGTGAATAATAAACAGATACTAAAACCAGCATTCAGACTGATACTAATCCTAACACGAGTACTATTACTGACATTGACATCGACACTGGCACTAACACCAGCACGAACATAATCACGAGTTCATATTTACTATTATTGATATGTATACTTTTATTCAATTCTAATACTGATACTGATGCTAATACTAATACTAAATACCAATACTAGTACTAAACCAATACCCATCCTAATATCAATACTACCACAAAACTATTACTCATATGAACACTGATACCAGGATTAGGACTACTACAAACGATGACAGCAGTACTAAGACAACAATACATATTAATCCTAACACTAATACTCGTACTAATACTAGCTACTAATTCTGATACTCATACTCATACCAATACTAATGTCACCACTACTACTAGTACTACTACTGCTGCTGCTACTACTACTGCTACTTCTACGACTACTACTACTACTACTACTACTACTACTACTACTACTACTACTACTCCTACTCCTACTACTACTGCTAGTAGTACACATACTTAATACTAGAACTAATACTGATACTCATACTACTCACTAATACTAATACTAATACTCATGCTAATACAAATACCAATACTAATGCTACCACTACTACTACTACTACTACTGTGCGACAACTATTGCTAGTACGACGACTACTACTATGAATATCGATACACATACTTAATGCTAATACTAATAGTAATACTATTTCGAATACTATTACTAAAAACAAAACCAATACTCATCCTAATATCAATACTACCACAAAACTAATACTAATGCTAACACTGATACAAGAACTAAGATCTACAAACAGTAATAGTGGTACGAAGAGCAGAACTGAGATTAAGATTGGGACTAGGAGCGTTGCATGCATGTGAAGAAATTTCCAAAAATTGCCAACCATCTGAAAGAACATTTTGGAATTGAGTTTGGGAGAAGTGTCTGTCGCCTATCCGTTGACAGATCCTGCCTGGGGACGAACGACGGTCTGTCATGGGGGGGGGGGGGGGTGAGCATATATATATATATATATATATATATATATACTGTGCATGTATGTACACATGCATTTATGCCATGTGCGTATATGTGTGTGTATATACATATATATATATATATACATACATACATACATATATACATACACAAAGACCGAGCGAGAGAGAGAGAGAGAGACGTTATACAGATTTAAAACACGTGTGTATACATATATATATATATGTTTACATGTTACTAATATTACCAAGCTCTAAAAGCACTGCCCTCCTCTGAGTGTCAAGTACACAGCAACCGCAAACCATCTTGCGCCACAAGTTGGTGTGGTGATGGGACATCCGGCTGCACCTGGGCATGCTTCCGCGAGATGGTCTCGTGGCCTCAGCCAGCACAGCTGCACAAACGCTGCAGAAGAGTTCGCCGTGACTTTCCTCGAAAGCTTCGGGTTCCAGTTGAGGCCCTCTGAG